GGAGAGACAGGGAAACAGAAAGTGAGAAATCACCACCCCGGATAGCCATGTCTTGATCCCTTCTCCTCCATTGTCCTCTCAGGATTTGGGGCATGCACAGATGCACGCGTACATGAGTTTAAGCCACCAGGTCAGGGACTCGAATCACCGACTCCGTAGGAATGCAGCAACATAACTAATATGCCATCTGCTGGTCCCAGATAACATTCTCTTTCTTAAATTGGGTGGTAAGTTCAAAAGTCTGACATGTATCCTTGACAGAAAAGCCATGGGGTGATGCTTTTGTTTGTGGAATTAAGACTGAATATCTTTTTTTAAAAATTTGATCCGTGTGTGCTCACTTGAGAAAGAGACAGAGAGAGGGAGAAAAAGAAGGAGAGAGAGAGAGAGGAAGTGAGGAAGCAACCCATAGAAGGGATGGCCACACTGCAGCCCCTTCTCCATTCTCCTCGGGATTTGGGGCACACACACACGGCTGGCACGTTTTTCACGCCTCCAGGTCTGGAACCGGAACCAGGCAGCCAGCCACGTGAGATCCAAGCCACCTAGGCTACCACATCACTAGCGGACCCGAGACTGAGTATCTTTTAGGAAGCGTTCTTCCCAGACAGAAAGAAGGGGAGCAGCTGCAAGGAACCTGGGCTGGCTGCAGACGGTTGGCTGCTCCGTCCTTGTCTCGGGTTGTTCCACCCCTTCACTTCTGTGCTGTGTGGGTTCTGCAGGGACCCAGGGGCCAGGGATTAGGGCTGTGCACAAAGCCTTTGTCTTAGAGGAGGGCTGCCATTCCCGGGCATTGATGTTGTGGGGAATGTGGTGCCAAAGCATTATCAAGTTCCTTTTGGGGTCAGGGATACATTAGAGGGAGAACAGCGACCCTGCTGAAATCCATTCAGCTTCTGTGTACTAGTCACAGTTTCAGGTGATAGATAGATCTTTTTTAAAGAATTACTTTATTTAAATTTATTTATTTATTTTTAAATTTTGACCAGAGAGAGATAGATTGAGAGAGAGAGAGAAAGAAAGTGAGAAAGCAAGCTGCCAGGTCTGAGACTCGAACTATGGTCAACCATGTGGGAGTCCAGTGCCCTTAACCACCATGCCACCTGCCGGCCCTGACTAATACATTTTTTAAAATGTCAATAAATAAATAAATTTGAAAGGATATTTATCTAACAGAATGTTTTAAAATGGCACTTTTAATTTAACATGTGCATTTAAAAATATAATTTAAGGGGCTGGCAGGTAGCATAGTGGTTAAGGCACTGGACTCCCACATGGATGATCGTAGTTCAAGTCCTAGGCCTGGTGGCTTGCTTTCTCATTTCCTCCCCCCACCCCTGTCTCTCACTGGTAAAATTAAATATTAATAATAATAAATAAGATTAAATACATATATAGTATGTGTGTGTGTGTATGGTGTGTGTGTGTGTATCTTTTAAATTCCCAAATCATATCTGTAGTTCAACCAGAGCTTAAAGATGTATTTGTGCTAGGCAATGCACTAATAGGTACTTGGTTTGTAATATACTTCCTTGTTTTGAATTATTATTCATGAATCTAGCCACTCTGTGAAGAAACTAGGCACTCTGATACATTGCTTTTGGAAGCGTAAATCAGTCTAATAGCGTTGAAGGAAGTTCGGTGTGTCTGTCACACACATAGTCATGCGCGATGCAATGATGAGTTGGTCTGCAGTGGACTGCCATATACAGTGGTCCCAGATGATTCGAATAGGCGTCCCAGATAGCCTAGGTGTGGTGTAGGCTATAGCGTCTAGGTTTGTGTAAGTGCACTCTGATGTTCGCACAGCGACATTGCCTAACGTTGTATTTCTCCGACGTATCCCTGTCGTTAAGTAAGGCATGACTGTATCAATAGCCTTTGCCCTAGCAAATCCACATCTCATTATTCTACAGGCATTGTTTGTCATAGCAGACAACTGGAATACACTAAATGTTCATTCATGGGGGGTGGGGGTTAAATAAGTTACAGTATATTCTTATGGTAGAATGGTATACTATAAAAGAAAGACAACTCCGTATGTATACATAATAAAGAAGCATCACTAAGTGCATTGTTATAAAACAAGGCAAGGTGCTAATTATATACAGTATGTCATTATTTGCAAACATTTTGTGTGGGTAGGGAATTTCCATATCAGATTTACCCTATATGTGTGGGTAAATCTCTGGAAGGGTACATGAGAAACTAACTGTAGTTACTTACTTGGTAGAGGACAACCTGGTGGGGGGGGAGGAAATGGAATAGGGTTAGGAAGGAGACTCATACTCATTGAATTATATGTATTACATATTGCAAAAATAGTTTATTTTAAAATTAAAAAAAAGCTAGCCATACTCTCTGCTTTAGATCACATTTGTATATTAGCACTGTTATGTTTGATATTTATGTTATTTCCCTCATTTGAAAAAGAGGTCATTGGGGAACCAGCAGTTAGCGTAATGGCTATGTCGCTGGATTCCCACGTAGTCGACCATGGTTCGTGTCCCGGACCTGGTGGCTTAAATCTCACGCCAGGCGCGTGTGCGTGCGTGCCCAAGATCCCGAGAAAGGAGAAGAAGGAGAAGGGATTGCGGCATGGCCATCCCCCCTGGGGGGTGATTTCTCGCTTTCTGTCTCTCTGTCTCTCTCTGTCTGTCTGGTGAGCGCACGCGCCCTATAGCGAAAAAAAAAAAATAGAGGTCACATTCTTCTTAATGTTTTATTTGTAATTTTTTTCCATACACAGATCTCAGATCTGCAGCAGAAATTAGAACGTGCTTGTAAAGTCTGTCCCACAGACACTTGTATTTTGGAGAAGCAGCAGCTAAAGGAAAAGGTAAAAGAGCTAATGGACAGTGAAGCGAAAGCCAAGCAACAATATCAGGAAGAACAACGGAAGAGGTAAGAGGAGCAGAGATCTGTCCCCCTGGGTTTCCCATGATGGAGTTCATCAGCAGTCCATGTGCTAAGTCCTGTAGTGTTTCCGGTCTGTCCCCACCGCATAAACTTAGTCACACAACTTTTTATTTGTAGTACTTACTACACAACATTCTTTTTTCCTTAAAGTTCATTCATTTATTTCTTCCACGAGAGAGAGACAGACAGACAGACACCCACAATATGTCACGTCACAGAGTCCTCGGACTGTGATCCACCCTTAGTTTCGGCAGGCCTGATCACATTCTCAGGGAGGTCCCAGGCTGCAAGCCCATGTTGGTCCAGGTTCTCTAGGGCTGCGCTATCGCCTGGCCCCGATGCTATATGTAGATTGTTTCTTTTCTTTGCCTCTATTAGATTCTTTTTTTGGTAAGAGATGTTTTTACTATAGGGCACATGCACTTGCCAGAAAGACAGAGAGAAACAGAGAGACAGAAAGTGAGAAATCACCCCCCAGGGGATGGCCACACCACAATCCCTTCTCCTCTCACGCCTGATGTAAGTTTAAGCCACCGGGTCCAGAACGCGAACCACGGTTGACTACATGGGAGTCCAGCGACATAGCTATTACGCCGACTGCTGGTCCCTTTTTAAAAAATTTTTTATTTCAGCATTACTTTTAAAGCATTGTTCACACACACACACACACACACACACACACACACACACAAATCAAAGAAAATTCCATTACAGTGAGCTAAAGCAAAGATAGAAGGTGAACACGCATCCAGGTCAAGAGGCAAATAACAATATTAGCCCTGAGTTCAGGAAAAGCTGAAGAAGCTTCACAAAGTAGGATAGCTAGATTAAGAAAATGCAAGTTATCTCTAGAGGAAATCAATCCCAAGTTAGATATTAAGTATCTCCACATATTACGCTTGATCAAATATAAACTCACAGTAAAAAATCACCATATACCTCAAAGAAACGAGTCACAATGAATGAAAGTCAACAGAAACAAGAACCTTCAAGAACTTCAGCAACTGAAATGATGGAAAACAGATTATAAAACAAGTGTGTGAAGATTTTTTTTTCTTCTTTTTTTGGAGAGGTTTTTTCACTATAGGGCATGTGCGCTCTCCAGATAGACAGAGAGAGACAGAGAGACAGAAAGCGAGAAATCACTCCCCAGGGGGGATGGTCATGCCGCAATCCCTTCTCCTCCATTCTCCTCTTGGGATCTTGGGCACGCACGCACACGCGCCCGGCGTGAGTGTTAAGCCACCGGGTCCGGGACGCGAACTGCGGTCGACTACATGGGAGTCCAGCAACATAGCCATTACGCTAACTGCTGGTTCCCTAGATTTTTAAAGAAACAAAAAATATAATCAAAGAATTGGACAATGGAACAGGCCCATGGCTTGGTGGTCAATGGAGCTAGATTGCACATGACCAACTGTGCAGTTTGAATCCCAGTCTAGGCTGCTTTAAAAACATGCCAGGTGCATGTACATGCTTATCCAGAATCCCAGTGGGACGGAGGAATAGAGAAAGGACGATGGTACCACTGCACTCCAGGGGGGAGATGCTTTCTCACTTACCTTCTTTCTGGCAAGCACAAGTACCCTCTGCCAATTAAAAAGTAAATAAATAAATCTTGCACAAATATATCCTTGGTAGCCCACTCTAACCAGAAACATACATCAGAAAAATTCTGGGAAATACTGTTCATCTTAGCCAAATTGACACATTACAAAACCACTATACTAAGTAAATGTTATTGTTGTTGTTATAATATTTGATGTTAAAGTTGTTCTGTTACCATCATTATCTTTTTTAGTAAAGTGAAAAAAGTTTAGGGGCCAGCAGGTGGTGTGGCGATTAAGGATGCTGGACTTCCACATGGACGGCCATGGTTCAAGTCCCAAGACCTGGCAGTTTGCTTTCTCACTTTCTCTCTCTGTCTCTCTCACTCTTGCTCTGACCCTCTCTGATCAAATTAAAAATAAATAAATAAAGTAAGTTAAAATAAAATAATTCTTTTTAAAAAAATAAAAAAAGGTTTGTTTGACTAGGGCACAGTATTTGGGGTTAAGAGGAATGGCAAGAAAATGAGGCTAGAAAGGTAAGGTAGGCCTAATTCCTGTAGTCAGCAGATGGTGTGATGGTTATGTCGCTGGACTTCCATGTAGTCAACCATGGTTCAAGTCCCAGAACCAATGGCTTAAAATTCAAGCCGAGCACATGTCCATGCCCAAGATCCTGAAAGGAGAATGGAGAAGGGATTGCGGTGTGGCCACCCCCCTGGGGGTGGGGGGAGTGATTTCTCACTTTCTGTCTCTCTCTGTCTGTCCCGCAAACACACACGCTGCCCATAGCAAAAAAATTTTTTTTAAATGAGAGAAAGCAAATTTGTTAGTCCAGTGTTAGTATTTTACTACTCTAACACGTAGGTGAGAATTTTCCCCACCAGTACTATTTCAACATTGTCATCAGTATATTCCTCAAGATGGATCTTCTGGATTTAGAGAACCTTGGTCTGAACTGTAGCCTGATGAGACATCCTCTGAAGGAGAAAAGTGCTAATGGTCCTATTCTAGAAAAAAAGTGAATTTCTTCCTCAAATGCAGGCTCATTGGTTGAATCCAGAAGATTAAGGGCTCAGTTTGTAAAGCAGGGAGGAAGAAAGAATATGGGCTCAGGGTTAGGTCCTACCTTTGCCTTGTCCTCTCTAGCTTCTGTATCTCTGGAATAAGGACCATTATGTCTTCATGTGTTAGAAAGAGAAAGCTTCTGTCAAAAAGGAGGTTCCCTGTGTTGGTTTTTGGTCTTTGGTCTCCCCTCCATCCACCTTGCTTTTTTTCTTTTTTCTTTTCTTTTTTTTTTTCTCTTTTAAGACAAAGGCTCACTGCATCCTGACCCCCCTGCCTCAGTCTCCCAGGTAATTGGGAATACAGGTGCGCACAGTCACAACCTGGCTAGTTCCTTTATCATCTGGACCAAATTCTTTGTGAAGGCATAAATATTTTAGGTCTGATTTTTATGTGCAAAGATTACTAATTCACTGTGTGATTTAATATATGTTAATTGCCCTCAGGAAACTTCTAGATCAAAATGTAAATGAGCTACAAAGACAAGTGAGAACCCTACAGGACCAAGAGATTAGACTGGAAATGACCAGTTCTCATCAACAATCCAGAATCGAGCAACAAGAGGCCCTACTTAAACAACTGGAAAGTGAAAAAAGAAAATCTGATGAGGTAAGAAAGTAAATAGATCCACTTCTCATTTGTCCTATTCTCCTAGGCCTGGGTATTTGCTGATTGTTATTGAGCACCCAGGACTGAAACGTTAAGTTCTTTCAAGATTCAGTCCAGAAAACAGAATCTACTCTAGACTTTTCCAGCAAGAAGGGATTTAACACAGGGAATAAAGCTTACAGAACCATCGGAAGGGCGGGCAGAGGAAGGGTAGGTCAGAAGGCACAGTGGTGACTAACCCAATCTTTAGCCCCTGTGCATTATTTTAACGTGGCAGTCCTTATACGCAAACCCACTCCCAGGGTGTGCTGGGATTGGACTTGGTTATAAGGTGGAGGCAGTGATAAGCAGTAGTGGTATAGAGGTGGCTCTTGAGGACAGTGGCATCTTCTTGTATTATGACTGCCTTAGGTGAAAGCAAAACAGAGTTCTCAAAGCAAGGGTGGTTTATCTCCTTGGACAGCTGAGAAAGGACTGCTTATACTAGCAAGAGACGCTCAGTATTTTTCAAGCTGGTAGGTCTGGGACTCGAACTCACAGAGTCAGCCATGTGGAATCCAGCACCTTAACCACCATGCCATGCCACCTGCTGGCTCTGGAAGCTTTCTTCTTTTTTTTTAAATTTCTCAATTATTTAGTTGTATATATTATTATTATTATTATTTTATAATAATAGAGACAGAGAGAGAGTGAAAAAGCAAGCTGCCAGATCTGAGACTTGAACCACAGTTGGCCATGTGGGAGTCCAGCACCTTAACCACCACGCCACCTGCCAGGCCTGGAAGATTTTTAATATAGGGAATTAAATGTCTACGAAGCTTTTGGGAAGACTAGGGGAGCAAAAGTCAAGTCTAACTTTCAGGAACTCTGGAAGTACTAGAATCACATGGAGCTACTGAGGTTTCAGAAGCTGGAGTGACTATCAGCCCTTCACAGCAGAAAGGCTGCCAATTTACCTTCTCTCAACCTCACACCTTTACCGCAACAAAGCATTCTTTTCATTTATTTATTTTTTTAAATTTTTACCATAGGATACATGTGCTTACCCAAGAGAGAGACAGAGAGGGAAAGTGAGAAATCGGCCCCAAGGGAGACAGTTGAGCCTTGATCGGTTCTCTTCCATTCTCCTCTCAGGATTTTGGGGCATCCACACTCACACACACACACACACACCTGGTGGGGTTTTCTTTTTCTTTTCTTTCTTTTTTTTTTTTGGAGAGGTTTTTGCTATAGGGCGCGTGCGCTCGCCTGACAGACAGAGAGAGACAGAGAGACAGAAAGTGAGAAATCACCCCCCCAGGGAGGATGGTCACGCCGCGATCCCTTTTCCTCCATTCTCCTCTCGGGATCTTGGGCACACATGCACACACACCCGGTGTGAGTTTAAGCCACCGGGTCCAGGACTTGAACCGCGGTCGACTACGTGGGAGTCCAGCGACATAACCATTACGCTAACTGCTGATCCCACACCTGGTGTGGTTTTCAACCCACTGGCTCTGGGACTCACACCAGAGTCAGCTATGTGGAATCCAGTGCTTTAACCACATTGCCACCTGCTGTCCCAGTATTCTCATTTTATTAAAAATGTTTTTCAGTATGTCAAAACCAACCAGGAATTGTCAGAAAAGGTGTCTGGATTACAACAAGAGAAAGAGGCTCTGCGTGAAGAATATGGGCAATTCTTGAAGAAATTTGATGCCCATATGAGGTAAACAAAATCAGGCTCCCTTTGGAAGAAAACTATATAGAATAGCTGTTTCCTACTGAATCAGCGGGAAGCCTGAGCCCTGGGATGTTCACTGAAGCAACTTTCAAGAGTGCCAACATAATTTTCCAGTGTTTCCAGTGGTCCTATTCGTTAGGATTTTCCTAGGGAGTTGGGGAGGGGGTGCTAATTTCATCCCAAGAGAAGGAGAGAGAAGGGAATTACCGTCTATTTTTTTAAAGATTTATTTATTTAATTTATTCATGCATTTATTTTAATTTGATGAGAGAGAGAGAGAAAGAGAGAGAGAAAGCAAGCCAGCCACCAGGTCTGGAACCTGAACCATGGCTGGCCATGTGGGAGTGTCCAGCACCTTAATGACCACGCCACCTGCTGGTCCCCAAGGAAATGACCATTTATTGAGCTCCAGTGATTTAGAACCTGCTCTTCCCTACCCCTGCTCCACCCCAACACAGCATTCTTACTTGACTTCAGGCCTTTTTTTGTCTCCTGATGGATTTTCCTCAGTCTGAACCACCCTCTCCCCATTTAAACTCTGTATTTCAACTCTAAGACTTCTTAGATTAGAAGTCACCTCCTCTAGGAAGACCTTCTTGAAACCCCCCAGCCTGGGCCGAGTGAGGTTCTTTCTTTGTGTCCTCGTGCCCTCTGGCTGTGCCTCTCTGAGCTTATTTCCGAACTTGCCGCATTGTTCGCTATCATGTGATTCACTCCCTCACAGCCTCACCAGACTGTGGGCTCTTCCAGGGCAGGAGTCATGGTCTTACTCATCTTTTTATCTGTACTCCCTGGTATATAGTAGGTACCAAATAAAAGTGTGCATACTGGGGCTGGCAGGTGGCATGGGTTAAAGGCACTGGTTTCCCACATGGTCGACCCTGGTTCGAGTCCCAGACCTGGTGGCTTACTTTCTCCCTTTGCCCCTCTCTCTGTTTCTCTTTAATCAAATGGGAAAATAATAATAATAAATAAAGTGAAATAAAATAATTCTTAAAAAAAGTATTTTCCTGCATCCTTTCCACTTCTGGTGCATCAATCCGGCCCTTCGGCTCTCCTCCTCGTTGCAATGTAGCTTAGTTCAAAGAACGGACTGTGGACCCATACTGCCTGGTTACAAATCCTGGTTCTGTTGGAAACTTATAACCTCAGGCGAGTTATGTAACCTCTCTGTGGAGTCTCATCTTTGTTTTTATTTTTATTATTATTATTCTTGTTATTTTGGGGCAGAAGGTATGTACGCTCACCAGAGAGAGACAGAGAGACAGAGAGGAAGAGGGAGAAAGCACCCTCCAGCAGGGCGTGGCCATGCCAAGATCCTAATGAGCTGGAGGGCTAAGAGAAGGGGACTGTGGTGTGATGAAGCCCTACAGGGGCGCTTTTCTCCCTCCCTCTCTCTCACACACACACATGTGTACATGCTCTCTATCACAAATGGAATAAACAAACTGAAAACAAAAAATTAGGGATAGCCCTTAGCACATTGGTCAGGCATTGCGTTGGGAGCCAGATCTCATGTAGCCAACCATGGTTTGAATCCTAGTCCTGATGACTTGGAAAATATATAGAGCGTGTGTGTGTGTGTGCGTGTGTGTGTGTATGTGTGTGTGTGTGTTCCAAATCCTGACAGGATGGAGAAATGGAAGGAAGGCGGTCGTAGCGTGACCATGGCCCATTGCAGGGAACGGCTTTTTCTGCCTGTCTCTCTCCGATGAGCACTTGCCCTTCTAGCAAGGAAACAAATTAATTAAAAAAAAATTTTTTTTTAAGAATTGTTTTACTTAACTTATTTATATATTTATTTTAATTTGACCAGAGTGACAGAGACAGCCAGACAGAGAGAAAGTGAGAAAGCAAGTCGCCAGGTCTGGGACTCAAACTGTGGTTGGTCATGTGGGAGTCCAGCACCCTTAACCACCATG